GAAAACTTAAGAATATATATTACCAGAATCAATTGTGTTAACCACAGACCTTTTTTTCAGGCATTAAACCAAAAACCCATTCAAAAACCATGTGAAGATGGAACCAGAAGTGCTAAAATGCTAAATCATTTCCGGGTTTTGGCCTACAAATGTCAAATGTGTGCCATTCCTGGAGCCCTCTAATAAATGCTATGTTACACTGTAAAATCCAATAGTTTACCTTACTTAGATTTAATTAGTTATCGTTACTTAGTTGTTATACTTACTAGGTTTTATTGAGTTACAGCTACTTTTAAAGCAAATAAAACAATTTACTTACTGTTTTGAGTGAAACTTACTTAAAATATTCAAGTAGCCACAAAGGAACTAATGACATTAATAAAGCAGTGAGAGGCAGCAGTGCATTAATATGTTGCTAATGAGCACCATAACAACAGAAGAAGAAGAAAAGAAAAAGAGTCTTAATAGACTTTTCACCCATTTCCACCATGTCTGCAGTTATCTTTCACTAGTTGCATTCACTCGTTTCTCAAAGTCATCTTGAATGTTGACTTTTCAATACAACTGAAATATTTGAGAGAACATCACATAAGCTAACTTCATAAATTGATTTTGATTTTCCTAAAATGTGTGTTTTATTTTGTTAGATTTTTTTTAACTCACCATTATATGGAGCTAATATTATGACAAAACAATTTGAATTTGAATTGTGTTCAATTTGAATTATTGACAAGTGTTATTTAACAAAACTGTATATTATGTGGGATATAAAATCGTTTTGAATTTGATTTTGATTTTAAATTTGAATTTTTTTTTTTTACTTGAATATTTAACATTTGAAATTTAACACAAATGATTTTTTTAAGGCAGAGTTTTATAGACATGTATTTTCAAACGACAGATTTTTTTTGTTCTGAATTCTTAGACTGCAAATATCCAGTTTTTAAAATTACAGCTTCAAGTTTTCAAGATGAAGAAGAAATTCGGAACATCAAATTCAATTTTCTAAAATTCAAAATGCAGAAATTCAGATCGTACAGAAAGTAGGTCAGAGATCATTCAAAGGGAAGAGTAGATGATCTCCGAAAAGTGGAACAAAGCATTTTGGCCAATTAGAGCTGCAGTAGTTTTCTGGCGCGAGCGTGCGGCTCAGAAGGTCAATCGCCCAGAGGTAAGTGATTTTTAAGCATTTATGGTTTATATTTAGATATTATGCTAGCGTTCCCAGCATGTGAAACATTTGTTTAAGCGGTCTCTGGTGTTTGTTTTAAAGTATATTTGGTGTAAAAGTGAGTAGCATGCCACCGTGTCTATACTAGACGCGACTGCGCCGCGCCGTGCCGCAACAGCTTGAAATGACAAAGCGGCAGTTGTGAAGAGCTTGGACTATGCCAGAAATAGAACGGGGAATCCGTTTACTGTTGGAAATTTTTGTATTTAGTGTAGACACTATCACTGATTATAATCGACGGGTTCTACTGTTTTCTGTTGCGGCACTTCGCACCTCTCGCGTCCAGTCTAGACCAGGTGTAAGCGTCATATCTTCAGAGACGGATTAACGCATGGGCCTACTGGGCACGTACTCGGGGAACCAGGCCAGAGGGGGACCCAGCCGAAATACCGCTCCTCCCGGAACGCGATTTCAGCCGTGCCCCCTCAGATTTTTGAGCCAAGTGGATTTTGAATGCAGCTTCCCAAAGACAAAAAAAGAAATAGCCAAATAATAGTTTTTATATTTAATATACGATCACACCAGTGTGATTAGAACATTCAGTGCTGCAAGTCTGCTAAATTCAAATCTGCGTTTGCTGGATGGCGCTGAGCCAGAGACAGACGCGTTTTTACAGTTATGTGCATTATAACCAATCACACACGATTCTGTTGTTCTTACGAATGAAATTATCAATCAGAGGCGTTCAGATGAGTCTTTGCTGAAACGCGCACGCTCGCTGCGCTCGGGCGAATTCTCTCATCATAAACAACAAAGTACAGATGTGCATACAATGTAAGAGATTCATTTCACAGTGTAAACGGCTTCAGTGATTATAATTCGAGTTTTTGAGAGTGCTTGAACTCTGGCTAGACTGAAGTCAATGATAATGTTCATTGATGATGATTCTTTGCTCTCTTTGTTGTACAATGAAATAGTTATAATTAGTTACTTAAAATGTTTTGACTAATTCACGTTAAATACAAAGTCAGTCCTGTTAAAAACTATTTTATGACATGGTTAATTTGTGGTTACCATAGTTAAGTATATTTTTTTTAACTTGTAAAACCATGGTTCATTTTTAAGGGTATGTTAAGCTTAACTGTCAAAAACTTATGTAAATGAAGTTTAAACAAACAGCACAAAAAGGCTAATGGTGTAAAAACGTATAACACTTTTGTTTTATTTTTTTGTTGTGTGTGTGAGTAAATGTGCATATTTGTAATAACTTACAACAATGAGCTACCAAGTGTCAGATTTGCAAAAGAAGTCCCTCATGAGCATTAACCATTTTGGTCTTGTCATTTATGCACTCCTTTTCCTAAGCTAACTGCTGTCTTTATTTTTACAGGTACAAATACTTCTAGAGCATATATGGGGGAGACTTCGGTCACGTTTGGAGCACGCCCTTTCACGGATGCCTGTGGATGTGGACTTCTTAGAATTTATCTGTGCTCAGGAGTTGGTTTTCCTGAGTGCTGTATCCCCCCAGGTCATCATTCCTGTGGACATATGGGAAGGCTTAACTGGTCTGCATCATGCTATTACTTTAGCGAGGCAAAGAAACGAGACACAGGTTGTGACCGCACAATTTGAACAAGGAAATAGTGGACGACCAAAAGCAATCATTGGTCATGAGTATCTTATCAATATGCTTGAAATGTATGATGTAGCGGTTCTCAAACTCTGGCCCTTGAGGTCTATTTTCCTGCAAAGTTAAGCTCCAACCCTAGTCAAACACATGTGAACAAGCTAATCAAGGTCTTCACTAGTATTACTAGAAAATAATAGGTAGGTGAGTCAATTGGAGGTAAACTCTGCTATAGAGTGGATCTCGAGGGCCAGAATTGAGAACACTAATCTAATGCCTTTGGTTTCAGGTATAACATTGTCTTGTTTGGAGGGGTGGATGGCTCTTCACGAAAGGTGATTTTGTTTTTGTTGTACAGTATAACGCAACATTGGAATTGTTAATGTACCAGATAAATAGAACTAACAACGCTATTTCTAATTCTACAGATAATGTACCTTGGCCCTGCCACAAACAATTCAGCATTGACTGCGCTGACCTTCTTCCAAGAGTCTGTGGAGTAATAAAGGTATGGAGTAATAAAGATAAAAGTACACGCGTTTGTTTTCACCCAAAAATAAAAACTGTTGTTATTTACTCGCACTCATGTCGTTTCAAACATGTAAGACCTTTGCTCATCTTCGGAACACAAATTAAAATATTGTTGATGAAATCTGAAAGCTCTCTGACTCTTCATAGACAGCAAGGGTCCTACCACAGTCAAGGCACAAAAACATAGTAAGGACATCGTTAAAATAGTCCATGGACCATTTTAACAATGTCCTTACTACATTTCTGTGCCTTCGCCGTAGTAGTACCCTTGCTGTCTACGGAAGGTCAGAGAGCTCTCGGATTACATCCAAAAATTATCATAATTTGTGTTCCCAAAGTGATTGCGATCCTTTAAAGGGATACTTCAGCCAAAAATGAAAATTGTCATAATTTACTCGCCCTCATGTCATTCCAAATCTTTTTAGTTCCTTAATGAATCCAGAAAAAAATTATCAGAGATTCCAAGAAAATATTAAGCAGCACAACCATTTCCAACACTGATAATAACAGAGTATCAAATCAGCATATTAGAATGATTTCTGAAGGATCATGTGACACTGAAGACTGGAGTAATGGCTGGAGAAAATTCAGCTTTGATCACAGAAATAAATTATATTTTAAAGTATATTAAAAAACATTATTTTAAATTGTAATGTTTCACAATATGAGAATTTTATAAAAAATATTTTTTTGTAGCCTCCACTTAATTTTTATTAATGTTCTTCACCAGGAACATTATATTATGCTTTATAAATGAGCATTATGTTAAGTATTAAAACATTGTCTTGACCAACTTTATGGTCATTACAGGGTCAGAGGAGACCATTCAGTCGAGAACGTGGACATTGCACGTTTAATGTTCACAGTTCGTGGCACAGGGAGAAGCAGTTTCATTTCAGGAAAAAGTGTCCACAATCAAAGGTATGTAAAGAAAGTATTGTGTAGCAGACATATCTTCTATGTAACCTTATGCTTTATTCTCCAAATGCTTGTTTGAACCAACTTATTGCTTAGGAATTATCTTGTGATGCTTTATGTTGTAGAATAGAACGACTGTGGAGAGATGTGTGGACTGCCGTGACCAGTGTGTGTACTATGTACTACACTATCTTGAGGAAGCCAACTACCTTCATACTGCAGACCAAACACATCTCTTCTGTTGCCACTACACATTCCTACCAAGGCTACAAGATGATCTAAATCTTTTCCGAGATGGGTGGGATAATCACCCTTTGAGAACAGAACACAACATGTCTCCTCCTTTAAAGGGATACTTCAGCCAAAAATGAAAATTGTCATAATTTACTCGCCCTCATGTCATTCCAAATCTTTTTAGTTCCTTAATGAATCCAGAAAAAAATTATCAGAGATTCCAAGAAAATATTAAGCAGCACAACCATTTCCAACACTGATAATAACAGAGTATCAAATCAGCATATTAGAATGATTTCTGAAGGATCATGTGACACTGAAGACTGGAGTAATGGCTGGAGAAAATTCAGCTTTGATCACAGAAATAAATTATATTTTAAAGTATATTAAAAAACATTATTTTAAATTGTAATATTTCCCAATATAAGAATTTTATAAAAAAAAAAAACAAGGAACAGATCACTCTCTACGAGAAATTGAGATGACGATGGAACAAGATGACCTGGTTCACCGTCAGAGACAGGTCCTTGCAGTATTTCCTGTTTTAAAATAATGGGCTAAAAGTTATATTTTGGATTCAAAGATTAAACAAAATACTATAGTCAATGTTCCATAATAAAATAGCTGACATACCCATGTTAAAATTAAATCCATGCTGAAGCCTCTATATAACAGTAGACAAGAAATGTCTGGTTACTCCCTCACCAATGGCAGCATCCCCTGAATGTAACAGCAATTCACAGCAACAGTCCAAAAAAAAAAAAAGAGAGAGAGAGAGAGACATGGCCATTAAAACCTAACTACGAATGCCACTAAATAAATGTATTTACTTGTTTAATACCACCTTGGAGTCTGCACTTCACAGGGCTTGCCCATTCTATGCCGTTTTATTTGTAGAATGCAAAAAGTTCTCTGTCTTGATCTTCCTTGTCCATCCTCAAATCCATGGTCATCAAGAGGGGCTTTCTCATCTCATGTTGGCAAATTATTTCCTTTGTGTATAAGGATGCTGCTTTATTTTTATCTGGTTCAGTTTTCCAATCTGCAAAAAAAACACAAAAGCAACAGTTCAGCTAAAGCTAATTGTGTATTCTATTTCAGTTTTACATCTCAGAAATGTATTATGCTTATCAGTTCCAAAAAAAAAGAAATGCATACCATAACTCATGCTTGTGGCTTCAGCTGCATTTGAATGATCATATGTGTCACAGGCATGGAAAATCCAGATGTAGATGGTTCCTCCATAGACGCATTGAATTCCAGAGGTTGCGTGCTTAAATATAATACACAAACTTCATTACCACACTTGTGTGCAATGAAGGAACAAAAGTCCTTTATAAATGGATGACCTCAATTTCTAAATGAATTGAACATTCATAATTTTAACATAAAACACAATATTCAATTCACAATTGTATAGTGAAGAAGACCTGCGGCAATCCTAACAGCACACATAATGAAAGTACAAAAAACAACAAAAAATTCAAATCACTGAATTGACTGGAAATATGTTGTGCGCTTTCAAAAAAACAATTATTTTCCTCACCTGTCACCTGTGCAAAAACTTGAGTGAATCTCTATCACATCAAGAGGCATTTCATTTTGACAGATGGGGCAAGTTGCCTAGAGGAAACAAACAAAAACAATATAATATAACTTTTCTTTCATGTTGTTTCAACCATGTATGAGTTTCTTTACCATGGATGGGACAACAAGATATTCTGAAGACTAATCATTAGATGTGAAAAAAAAATATCTTCCAATTATTTATTGAATTATTTTTTGTGTTTTAAAGTTATACAGATTATGAATGACACATGAAAGACTAGAAGACAGAATTTTCCCTTTAACCTGCATATGCAAGAAACAAAAACACAGAGAAATGCAATGTGTTATCAGAATTATTTAAATAATTTGCGGTTTCCAAAAGCAGCTCTAAAAAAACTGTTTAAAAAAATATTTATCATACCTTATTAAACTTCCAAATTATGTATTTAAATTAAATTAATTATTTTAATATATCTTACTTGATTGGTCTGTTCAGCTTCATCAGTTGTCACACAGGACTTTATGTGTGCAGTCAGGATGACTAATGGATAAGTGATTCCACATTTCTGGCATTTCTCTTTTGGCATGTCATTAAAGCTTTCAGATTCAGGTGGCAGAGCAGTGGTTTCAAGTTCCATTTGAAGAGGAGCTATGTAAAGCACTCCTTTAAAACCTTGTGTTGCTGCCTTCAAATGCTTGGCACTGTACCCACTCTCATCGGGTGGAATAAGGTTGAGCTTCCGGGAGCCCCATCCTCCTTAAATTAAAAAAAAATAATAATAATTAATTAATTAAAAAATTACACAAAATACTAAAAAACACAACGCGGTATTGGATTTTATTAGATCATTCCTTGTATTTTGTTATGCCAGGATTCATGTTTTAAGCTTTGCACAGAGGTATTTACTTACACAAAATATGGAATTATTTTATTAGTGATTATGTGAAAATTCAGAAATGTATTTGATGTGAATTTTTTTTTTCATTATTAGATCATTCCTTGTATTTTGTTATGCCAGGATTCATGTTTTAAGCTTTGCACAAAGGTATTTACTTACACAAAATATGGAATATGTTATTAGTGATTATGTGAAAATTCAGAAATGTATTTGATGTGAATTTTTTTTTTCATTGCAATGTATCACTCTGTTCCTGATGATTACCTGAAGATTTATAGACAAACCAAACCCCCTTTACTTCCTGAAATTTTGGGAACAGCTTCAGTTGGGCACATACCTTACAATGTAAATAACACTGAGTAAAAATTAAATGCCCAACAGTTACAAGTGCAACACTGGTACAAACAGCTTATAGGGTTTCATTACAGTAATGTGCTAAAGAGCACCTCAGCACCCATGTTCCAGCTATACAGAGTTACTAATGAATTAAGCTCTGTTACATTAGCAAAAGAGAATTTTAAAAGATGCAAGAGAAACATCATGCATACTTACTTCATCATAAGTTGCATTTTCATCCATTTGCATTGTCTTTCGCCCCAACCCAGCTTGCATATGTACCAGTTGCTCACTCTCCATAGGTGTTCGCTCGTATTGGTGAGGAAGCAGATAAAAGTTAACAGGCAATATTTTTGTGGGTTTGCTAGGGGGCACTGACAGCATTCGCTTTTTACCCCGTCCTTTGCTGAAAACCCCAGGAAATGATCTGTTGGCAAAAAATTCAATTACAAACCAAAATAATTACCATCAAATAATGTAATGTTTCTTTATGTCAATATTAAATAAAAATAATGTAGTTGCAAATCCTGGTCATCTCAGTTTGGATGGTGGCCCTCTGCTGAACAGTGTGCTGCCTATGGAGGCTGAATCATTCAATTAATTTAATGAAAGTAATTTAATAAAACTATGTATGCACAAATACATATACATAACAGGGAATTCCTTTACCACACTATCCTTACTAACTATCCTTACCACAATAATAAATAAAAATACACAAAAAACCTGGAATTATCCTGACTGGGACCAGCTGTGCCTGGCTGACCTGACAACTTCACTGTCCTGTAAAAACAGTCATCTTATAAACTGTCCTGTCATCTTATAAACATTCATTATTGGTCTAATGGTCCGCTGTTTATAATGCTTTTTACTAGATATCAGTTCAGGGTGCAGGGTAATGGTACTGAACATGAGAGTGTACAATAATTAGTAATTAAAAGACTTACAATATGAGATGCACTGATTGCAATTGTTTTGGCCGATTCCAATTTCCGTTTTTTTTTTTTTGTACCTGCTGATACTGATTTTTGTCAATTTCTAAGAACTACAGTTGACAGCATATACAAACAATCTATAGTTGTTGTTTTTTTCAATGCAACATTTTTTATTCTTATTAAATGGATGCATCATCTTTCACATTAAATTCTTACATTGTGTCAATTAATTAAGTTAGAATAATAAGAAACTGTGGAGTTGTTCAAATGAAATTGGTATCAACAAACGCCATCTTTACACTGCAGAGGAAACAGAAGCTGCATCTGAAGTGGCATTAGATGTATTAAAGTCCCTTTAAGGGATATTCTATAGTCTTTGGATGTATTTACACAGACTGTTTCATGAAGCTGAGGTGTCAAAGTGATTTATTACACCACAAAATTGCAGATACACGAATAATTTTATAAGATTAATGTTTTAAATATTTAAAAAAAATACAAATAAGAAATGTTGGGAAAATGCAAGGTACTTTTAAATGTGAAAACCAAACCACAAGTAGGTGGCGGCAAATGACTGTTTAAATAAGTGAGTCATTTAGTCATTCAATTGATTCGTTCAAACGGCTGATTCATTCGGAAACAGGCAAGTGACTGTCTTTATGAATGGGTTCATTAAATGAGCAAATGATTCAGTAACCCATTCATAATAACAGTCACTTGCCTCGTTGCAGTAGTGTTGATATTCAGGGGAAACGTCCTAAAATTTCACTTACCTAAATCATATATTATCTATTTTTTTTTCTACCGCAGTATGCATCTATAACTTTCTGTGAGTGCGGTTGCACTCAATTCTTTTGATTTCTGCACGAGTCTCTTTTACATACTCAGGCTATGCAAGCCTCATCTGGAAACGGATGAGCAAACGGATTCCCCGTTCTATTTCTGGCATAGTCCAAGCTCTTCACAACGGCCGCTTTGTCATTTCAAGCTAGGGCTGGACAATAATTCAATATCAATATGTATCGCGATATAATTTTTTTCAATAACGGTGATATGATTTTTAAACACATTTCCGATATTTCGATATACATTACCAGTGTTTCCCATACATTGATTTATTTGTGGCGTTTGACTTTTTTGACACGTTTCAAAATCAAAACGCGTCGCGGGTATTTTATATGAATGTAGGCTATCTCTGAAGGGAACCGATTGTCTTCAGAATAGTTTAGATGGCATTTTTATCTGATAAAGTATCGTTCATGTTTACAACCATTACTGGAGAAACCGTTAGTTCCACCGCTCTCACAGCGCCTCCTGCTGGCAGACAAGCAGTTTGCATTTTCAATAAACTCATTTCCAGCAACATGCTTTTGTTGTTGCTCTATTTTTTTGTTTTCTGAAGCAACTCGGAGCATGTTGCATACTCGTTATCCTGGTTAATGCACGCTTCAATCTATAAGAATAAT